CTTCAGAGAGTCATCCATTATATGGCACCTTCATGTCCCGGCTATCCATATTTGAATGGGACAAGACAGATTTAGCTAATCTTAAGGTATGTGGAGTTAAGTAAAAACTTTCAACTAAAAAATCAGACTGCCCCTTTAACTTGAAAATCCCTTCTTTTTTCATTTACAAAAAGCCAAAAAGAAGGAAATAGAAGCCTCTGGTATTCCAAATCCGAGTGAGTCTGCTATAAACAAGGCGATAACTAAGGGAGAATTAGAGAGGTAAATTATAATTAACATAATTAAGAAAGAAAGATAATCCATGTAAATTCTAATCCGATGACCAGTCTAGTAGTAATCTAAAAATATATTTGAATTATTTCTGCTACTCTATAGGCATTGTCGCAGAAGAACGAGGGGTGTAAAGAAAACAACGGAGGAAATTGAATCCCTTATTTTGAGCTTGACAGGGGTAACAGATTCACTTGGTGTTGCCATTCTGAAGGAAGTGCTCAACACAATCTGGAGCGAGCAGAAAAAGCATGTTGCCTGCATACAAGATATGGAAGGTAAACTAAACATAAAAACTGAAAATTGTATCTTTTGATATCTAAACCAGTGAAATAATTTTCAAATGCTAAATTAGTCTTAATATGTTTCCCTTTTTTATTTGTTTTCTAGGCCTCAAGCTTTATACAGTGACAGGTGACATGTCGAAAGGTAGGGAGAAACTTCCTGTGTATCGCTGTGCCAGAGGTTCCACATCTCTGGAGTCGTTCCACAGCCACATGGTGAAGTTTATTCCTGGTACCTCCGCAAGTGCTGTCAACTTCCAGGCTTACCTTCTAGATGGTGTATCAAGATGGAACTACCTACGGTCAGCAGCAGCCATGAATGTAGGACCAACACCATTTAGAAAGTTCGACTTTAGGTTAACGCAGAAAGTGAATTCTCTCAGCCAATCACTCCACAACAAGTCGCTGGTTCCTGTCCACATGATCCCAGCAGAATATACAGGGGAGTTGATTGGAATTGAGTACCTGTACAAACAGAGTGGCTTCTTGTTACCAAAGGATGAAGAGCTTGAAGCT